ACCTGCAGTGAGCGTATTCAAAGCTCATATAGAGCGGCGGGACAGCTATCCTAGAGACTAAGTTAGAAAAAAGGGTAACATTCGGCCAACACTGAAAAAAACAATGCAAAACGCAATGGATCAGCTCAGGGCGCGTAACTCCACTCGGCTGTCTGAGCGGAAGAAACAGCTAAATATGCATCGCGTAGAGAATACGCACCAATAACTCTACACAACAAACATTCCGCATGGCTCGCGCGACGGGAAAGTCCTGCTGGGGCCAAGCCCACATCGGCGCAAACAATGTCCGAATATAGTCGTCTCCCCTTGCCAGATATGCTTACTAAGAGAAGGCAACGGGAAAGAGAAATTCGGTAGTGCAGGTTGTGTTCAGAAGCACTGATGAAATTTACCTAGAATTTTGCACTCACAGCCGCCCGTGCGCGGAATTGCATGCTGCATCATCACGTTCTTCATTGAGTAACCGTGGGATCCGGGAAATACGACAGCCAAGCGTCAGTGCTTTTCGAGTGCTCAGGAGCCCGTTTTAATATTGCTAAGAGTTAAGAAGATCAATGCGTGCCTTTTCGATTTGCTGTGCAAGCCGAGCTAAGCGCTCATTCTCAGTCAGAGTCCACGCTCTCAAGGATGTCTGCAGCATCCTTTCTACGAGTTCAGGTATCTCTGCAATCGTTTTACTGTCCTTCAGCATTGCCTTGTCAGAGTCGAATCGGCTTTTCAGCTCTCGTATTTCATTCCATGCCCCTGATGAAGGGTCGAATGGATACATGAGTGCATAGCTAAGTGTTCTTTCATACGTCTCAATTTCCTCTGACAATTCATGCAAACATTGAAATCTTAGCAACGGAAGTCCTGTCTCTGCTTTCTTCGCAACCGCCGTAGTCCTAAGTTTCGTTCTCTTGTCCAGTCCAGATGATCCAAATCTTTCGCTGTCTAGTTTGTACTTTTTCACCTTCCTCGCCGCTTCTACCGTCTCCTGCGCTCTCAACCAATGATCCCTCGCCAAAGCTTCAACTTTGCGCCATTGCTCGAGAAACAATCTCTTCACAGCATCTGCGGCAACATTCTCAGCGGTCACAGCACCCTCTAACTGCTCACCAGTACTGGGCCTTATCTTAGTTGATAGCTTTTGCAGTAGCGCTTTGCCGCCAGCAAAATTAAGCACATCTTCAGGCTTGCCGCCAATCTGTACATAACGTTCATGCGCAGAGCGCCAGAATTCTTCGGTGTCGCCGACGACACTCTCAGCAATTTGCGCAATGGCCTCAGCGGCAGCATTGGCCTCTTCCTTGCTGAGCGACTGGCGTTTCAAAGCTGAATGAAACTTCTCCTTTTGCATCTGCAATATGTATTTGAGCCTTTGGTTAACTTGATTCGCCCGTTGGTACGCAGCTTTAACAGCCTCGACATCCTTCGCACCATCCATGCCCTGGACATCCTGATATTGCTGCTGAAACAACCCTTTTACGGCTTCCATGTCTTCATTTGTTATTCCAGAGGGTGTCTGCCCCGCAGGTGCTAGGCGAACTTTTGACAATAACACATGGACTTCCTGTATCAAATTTGCATCCATCTCAAGCGGTATGCGAATCAACTGCAGCTTTCCCATCAGCCAATCCTTATGAGCTTGTAGTATATAGGCCATCAGCGCGCTGTCCAAAGCAGACAAGCGTTCCAAGGTTTTCGTCCTGTAATTCATGGCAGCAACGGCTGCGTAGACTTTGACAAAATCATCTGCTCCGCACTCGTCTACGAACTCTAATGACTGCAGGATTCTAAGCTGGTCCTCATTCTCATGTTTCAGAGTTATGGAGGCGTTTCCCACCCGAGCCAACGTCAAAAGGGACATTTCGAAGCCTGCTGAAGCCATCATATCCGCCAGAGCTATCTGCAAACGCTCGGCGTCTGAGAAAATAATCTTCTCAGAACAGTACGCATGCACTTGCAGACCC